TCGGCGCAGCGAATGGCGTACCATAGGGCCCCAGGGTGTCTGAACCATGCTCAAGCAGAAGCGTCCGAGAGACGCGCAAGCTGTCGCCTGACTGCACACCGTGGGGAGAGGTTGGACTCTGACAGCGCCAGCGAACCGTCGCAGCTTCAGAGTACGCACCAACGCAGCCAAAATGGCGCGAAATTCGTGGTGTCTGTAACCGAACAAGGCACGTCAGGCCCGGGAAGACAACCTCGAACAGAGATGCGTTCGCAAGCGAGCCATCAGGTAACATGATGCGACGCTATGCGGAAGGTACAACTGTCCCAATCTTCTACCAGGCACAAGTCGCAGGCGACTAGCAACCAAAGATAAGAGCAGGAACGCGTACCAGGGAGCATCTAACGTGACAAGCATACACAGAGCCACGCCTATCCTTGGAACCCTGGCGTGCCAGAGTGAAGTGTAAGAAGATGGCGCTCTGGGAAAGCTGCGCTGCCGCTTACCAGCTGCAGCCGAAGCAACAGCCAGTGGTCACGAAGAAGCCCAGGGAGCTAAGGGCCGCTCATCCAGGTAGAGCGGGGGAGCGACGATGGGATGATGCCAGTCCGGGCAACAGGAACTGGCGGCCAACAAAGGAAGCAGGCGTACGCACTAGGCACAAGTATAGGCTCAGTCCGCTGACCACCCGCGGCAACACTGTGGCCGGTGCGCGCAAGTGGGTGCGCAACTGCGCCCCTGCGTCCGGGCGCGGCAACAACGTCCTTGCGGGTGGGCACACCACGCCACCGTGCCGGAGGCGTACCTCAACGGTTCAGAAGTGCACCATCTGGTCATGCGTTCGAAACCCGCTGTCGGGACGCCACCCGCCCAAGGTCGCTCCCAGGGAATAACAGAGAAGAGCAGCTGAAGGCCGCTGTACCTTAAAGAAACACAGGGAGTGAGAGTGCGGTTCTGGACAGTGACGAGGCGAAGCCATCTTTGCGTCGGTCACAGAGCCGCGAGGCCGGGGGACGAAGTCCGACAGGGCCAGAGGTGAAAACAACAACAGCGGGGCCAGGGGCCAACTATGGCCTGCACGCAACACGCCCCCGCGCAGTCATGCAGACGGTATTGCTGGTAAACACACTTGGGTCCAAAGGCAGGAAGTGCGTGTACCAGGGAGGGCGGCTGAAGGCCGCCACGCGAGTATATGAAACGTAACCCAGGGAGGCAGCTGAAGGCTGCACAGAGTGTGGAAATCGGACGCTGCACCTGAATATCTTGGGGATGGGGGGGGCTCAGTCGCCCCACCGTTGTCTCTTCTCGCCACGATCGTGTGGCCTGCCGCCACCACGCTTGCCTCCTGACTGCCACTGGTCGTCGTGCCAGCCAGAGCTCCAGCCGCCCTGCCAGTTGTCCCAGGCGTCCCAGGAGCTCCCAGCCCGGTCATGCCAGCTGCTCTGCTGGTGGCTGCCCTTGCCCGTGCCGTCGGTCCTGGTGTGGCGCATGTATTCGGACCGTACCGTTGCCCAGTCGATGCGGAAGTTATACTTCTTGTCCATCGCGTAGGCATCGTATCCTCAGCGCTTCCAGTCATCCAAGAACTTGTTGATGTTCTCGTCCGCGTGCAGCTTCGGGTCTGACTTGGGATCCTTGCACCCAGGGATCCGGATGCCTTTTGTGTAGGGCGACCAAAGGGCGCAGAATACTCCACCCAAGTCCACTTGGTGTCTGGCGATGCGCTTGGCGGGCGTATCTCCGCGGCGCTCCAAGTCCACGGAGCCCAACCAAGCCTTGTACATGGGGCCTCCGTGGGCGTCGGTCAGCTGGTTGAGAGCGTGTCGTCCCGCTGCGCCAGAGTAGGCAAGCCTGCGGTCTGGTGTCTGTGGGTTGCGTAGTGGGGGGCGGCGGTCCTGCGCTGTGCCTCTCTCTCGCGCGGCTTCATCTTGACCTGGCCGGCTGGAACCGCTGGCGTTCTGCTCGGTGGTGGCTGTGCGACCCCAGGCGGCCAAGGGGTCGTCGTCGGAGCTGGGCTCCATGCGCTCTGCCGTTGGACTTTGCTGTGGCGGCCTGGCGCCAGGGCCATCATCTTCAGCGGGGCCAGCGGCCGGGTCCGCGCAGTCATCAGGGGGAGGAGGCTCGTGGGGGCTTCCAAAACCGGCCGAATCCGCTGGCTCAGTAGCAGGAACCTCGTCTTCGTCGTCCTCCTCTTTGGCAGCTAGGCCAGGCACCTTCGCGTCTCCAGCACCAATTTCGGCGTCCTTCGTGCCCGGGGAGTTGTCTGCACCAACCGCTGTGGAGGTGCCTCCCTCGGGTCTTGCTGGAGCTTCGAGCTTGGGGCCCAGCCACTGTGCCGGAGGGCGCCCTGCCGCGTTGCCGGGCATGTCCTCGCTCATGGCCTGCACGCGCGACTCCGCCAGGGAGGTGATGGTTGTCGAGGCCGGGGCATCGGCACTGAGGCTGAGCAGGAAGCTCGTCAGCGTGCCCATCTCGTGTCTGACTGGGTTGAGGCCACTCTCCGGGGCGAGGGTCGAGACGTGCCGCTCCCGGGCCTCTTTGTGTTTCTCGCCGTTGGTGAGGTGGGAGGCGACTCGTGCGGCGGCCAGCCGCTTGCCTGCCCAGGGCTGGTTGAGCGGGGAGCAATCCTTCGGGATGT